ATGTGGAAAGGGTAGTAATTCTGTTATCACTATAAAAAAGGATTTTAAGACAATTCAACATAGAACATCCTGGAATAGTGAGAATGAAGTCTTTGATGAGAAGCTATGGGAATTGACCAAAGTTGATTGGACATATCCAAAATAGAGTTAGAAAATGTAATGGTTGTAATTCAGCAGCAGAATCACCACCTATAAATTATCAGGCATTGCCGAGCACTGATAAACCATGGACAAGACTACTTATGAACTTTGCTGGACCACTAAATGGTTCTTACTATTTAATTGTGGTTGGCAGGTTCACAAAATGGCCAAAGATTTTGAAGTGCAAACAACCTACTGCCACAATAACAATTAAATTCTTGTGCAGACTTTTTGCAAGGTTTGGAGAATCTAACAGTGTGGTATCCAATAATGTAACTCAATTTACTTCTAGTGAGTTTAAAAATTTCTGCAAAAGCTACACTATTGAACATTTGAATATGCTGATTTGTCATCCGAGGTAAAATGGTCAAGTAGAATGATTTGTTGACACCTTCAAAAGAGTATTAAGAAAAGCTAAAGGCTTGGAATCTGAGGAAATGGCATTATAAGAATTTTTGAGTGTGTATGACGTCAAATGCAAACATCACTGCGAAAATATGACCTGCTCAGCTCAGGTTTGCTAGAAAAGTGAGATCTATTTTTGACAAATTGCTACCAAGGGATAAGAAGAAAGTTTGACAATTTCAACCAACCAAATAATTTAAGATTGGTGATAAAGTTTTCTTTAAAATCTCTAAGGCTGGAAATGAAAATTAGCAGGAAGGAAAAATTACTCAGTGTTTTGGTTGTACATTGGTGAAAGTGGACAATTTCATCATGTGATATATTAATTAGTTGAGGTCGAGATATGCTCAGAATACACAACCAGTACAGTTAAAACTGGATATACTATACAATACTTTTGAAGTACCTATTACTAAAACTGAAAATATAATATGATTTCAGGATAAGCAAAAATGTAATCTGACAGAAAAGTTGGAAATGGACCCATGGAAAAACGTATTGTCTAAGGAAAGTGCATATCTAAATGGTGGGTGGTTGTGGATATGAACACACCACTCCAGAAGGGGACTTTGACTCATCCAAATACATAAATGCAATCGAGAATCATCAATAGAAGAAGTAAGGAAGTAATAACTTAGCCATATACTTTAACTGCTTACTACCTATTTCATGGTGTACATTGTCTAAAATGGATGATTTCATCATAAGTGATATATTAATCAGTTGAGGTCGAGATATGCTCAGAATACCCAACCAGTATAATTAAATTTACCAATGAACATTCTATACAATACTTTTGAAGTACCTATTCCTACAACTGAAAATATAATATAATTTCAGGATAAGCAAAAATGTAATGTGATGGAAAGTTGGAAGTGGACCCATGTTGAAAAAGTATTGTCTAAGGAAAGTGCATATCTAAAATGTGGGGGTTGTGGATATGAACACGCCACTCCAGAAGAGGACTTGGACTCGTCCAAATACATAAGTACAGATGTCGAGAATCATCAGAAGGAGGAGTAAACAAGTAGTGACTTAGACATCTAGCTGATCTTCTTACTACGTATTTCAGCAAGACTGTCAACTCCAAGCGAAATATTAATTATTGATTGTGTTAACTTTATTCAAGGCAATGAAGACATAACAGATATTAAAAGTTGAACAACTTTCAGATTGTAAGAAGAATAATTGAAAACAAATACTCGTGATGATTGCCATCAAACACATCAGATCAATAAGTTGACATTTGTTTCATCTAACCACAGAGTGATATACGAAAAATTTGAATTTTTATCTTTAGGCAATATTTATAACAAGCCCTCTTCATTTTTTATTGATTTGTTTTTTTTTTACCGCTTGTCAGCCTTTTGTGGGATCTTGTTATGTCTTCATTGCATTGAATAAAGATAAGACAATCAAGAAGAAGTAAACAAGTTGAGAGCTAGACATCTAGATTATCTGCTTACTATGTATTTCAGCAAGACTATATCGACTTCAAGTGGCATACTACTTCTTGTCGTCCTGGGTATGATGATAAACTATGTCCAGCAGCAAGGCCTCTGATCAGGAGGTTGTTGAGGAGCGTGGAACCGCCTCTTAATTGCTGGTTTTCCGAGATCCACCCTGACCCAGGGTGGTAGCACCTGCTAGGGTCCCACCTGTGGGCAAATAGTTAACCCTGAAACTGGGGTAAAAATGGGTTTTAATACCAGGAATACTTTGTGTCATACCATAATACCTATTCTATTGTAATAGACTCTCCCACAGATAATAAGTAGTAGTAGCAGTGCCAGTTCGGCTCAGTGGTGTTGAGCGAGTCAGTTGATATGGGACATTGAAATACCAATCCTCACAACTAGATTGCTGCGTCAAGTTCCTAATGTTTTGTACGTCGAACCTAATTTAGGACGACTTATTGAAATACAAGCCTTCACTGTTAAAACTACTCTACAACACTTTGTAAAAAAAAAAAAATTATCAGTAATAAATTTTTGAAGAAAAACCTATTACCAACAATGCATTTTTGAAAAAGTGTTACCAGCTATACATTTTTGAGGAAAAAAAATATTACCAGCATTACTTTTTTTGAAAAAAATTATTACCAGAAATAGATTTTTGACAAAACAAAATATTACCAGCAGTAGAAACTTTGTCAGCATTAAATAACCCATTGAGGTTGATATGCCGTAAAACACAACAAACCAACTACTACTTCTTGATTGTGTTATCTTCATTTAATGCAATGAAAACATAATGCTTCTCATGTTGTTGACATCTGTGAAACAAGGATCTCTTGGCAAAATTCTTCATATCTTTGAAACTCTATTGGAGTATAGATTAACATTTGTCAGACACCATAAAGAACTTGCCACTGATGTACAATTGTGGCAACCAGTTAATGGCAAAAGTAGTAAAGGTCAGTCAGCAAAAACTTTTATCAAACAACTACAGATTACAGATCTTCATGAACAACAGAGAGGAATGGAGGACCTGCATCTATGAATGTCGAGCGAGTACATTGTAGCAGTAGTAGTTATTAAAATGACATTTTTAAGGTCAGAAATGTGAAAGTTTTTGGTGACATACAAAGTGTCTCTTTTATTTTAATTTATCTCATTATCTGGCTAAATTATGACTGAAACAGTGTAGAATAAATAAGTCATGAAAGAAAAGTGAATTGAAAAATTGAATTGTATCAATATAGAAATTTAATTTGAACTAAATCTAATTTTTATATCTACCTAAGACAAGTATTATTAGACAGTATCAAAATCCTATATGACTCACTACAAGGAAAGACACAAAATGTTAGAAATTAGATTTTAACTATTAGTAGACAGTATCAAAATCCTACAACACCACTCACTGCAAGGAAAGACACAAAATATTCAATGTTAAGAATTAGATTTTAACTAAATCTAATTTCTATATTGTTACAGTGAAAGTAACAATGTAGTATTTAGCCACTTAATGTGAATCACGTTTTTCCTTGTTAAAGTAGATTGAGTTCTTTTGAAATACTTTTTCCAGTTATGCTGGGTAATCTTCAAAGAGAATATGGTTTTTCCTATTTGTCTTATACATTTACCATTCCATTGGTTTCCCCAACAAACTTATATAAATAAGGTATATTTAGGCTACAAGAATTCATTTAAACAAGTTTTCTTAAGTTTGACCAGTGTAGTTTATCTGTTGAATTTTGTAAATTTTATTTTTTCCAATTTATGGATAAGAAATTATAAACAGAAATGAAAATTGTGAATAAACCATCTGAAGTTAATGTTTTTCATCAAATAATTTTGAGTGTCTCAGTTTCTATCAAGAACGGGATGTTGTCAGTATGATGGGCAAGATAGTGCAGTTCATTGATTATATTGATGGTCACATCACATACAAGCAAAATAAAACTATTGGCATGAGGCAAATATTAGAAGACAATATCAAAATATTATTCAGTGCTCATTGCAAGGAAAGACACAAAATATTCAAAGCTATTATTATACAAAAGAAACAACCTGCATGAAATAAAATAGCTTTTGCTACATAAGACAATATTTTAAAGGGTGTATTAAATATTTCATGTGTGTATAAAGTAATAATACTACATATAAAATATTTGATATATTCTTTTCTGATGTAGTCAAGCTCTCTGAAACTGTTTTATGCATCACATCACTTATACAATATGCATATATTTGAATTAATTTGAATTTTAGCATTCCAGAAAATGCCAGGGTGTAGCCAACAAAATCTTGTCTACCATACTAATAACATCCAGTTCTTGCTGATGGCTGAGACGGTCAAAAATACATGAACAAAAACAAAAGAAGCATACACAGTTTATGTGCAATCTTGATTAGGATGTACATGTTTTGAAAATTGGAAAAAAAAAATTTTACAAACTTTCTTGGTTGAATTTAATGCAACTTGTCAGTATGTCAGCTTTCATATGTAAAAGAAATGTGTATATATATATAATTATTGTAAATGTAATTTTCAGTAAGTACACTTTTTAAGTAGATATTTCTGTTAGTTTTTATTTATTTTCTTAAAGTCTGACTTGCTTCACAAAAGGAATACAGGGTTGATTCCTGTTGAAAAGCATACATTCACTCTTTAGCTATTAATTTCACTGTTAAAAAAAGAAAGATAAAATGCAGGAAGTCTACTCAAACATATGTACCTACTAAATGCAGTTGAGGTACCAAGGAGAAAAGCTTATCAGAACAATTCCCATGAAAATATTTATAGAAAAGGCAGAGGGAAGCCACATCAAGGCTTTAAAATATTTTAATGATATGGCAATAATCAAGTACAACTCTTCAGCTGAGTGTAGGGGCGTTTTTTTTTTTCTTGATGTTTTTTTGTTCCTATTTGTGTTGTTATTGTGTTAATTCCACTGATTTTTAAATGTGTTTTGTATTTTCCATGCACTCCTGTCCATGCCCCTGCAGAACACTGGGACAGTCTGTCCTTGAATGGAGAGCGACCTCGTCTTATGCACTCTACCTCTGTTGAGCTGATCTCTTCCACTGATGAGTTCAAAGAAGATTCTAGAGACAAAGGTGTGTTATTCAAAGTGGTTCCATGAATTTGTAAATTTCAGAATAGTAAGGTTAATTCATAGGTAGAAAAATTGGCAAACTTGGATCTTTGTGCCCACAAAACAAAAACAATGTCAAAAGGATAGTTTTTCCCTTGACACCAGTATTATTTTAACTACCTTCTCTCCTCAGCCATGCTTATTGTTTTAAAAAAGTGATGATTATATATTGTAATAAAACCTAAATATAAGTGAATTTATACATTTTCTTTGTTTATGAGAATTGACAATAAAAATAATTATGTTTTTCAATCTCCCTGTGTAGTAGTAGTCATAGTACAGTTTTCCATGTCCTGAATAGCAACCGGGTTTGCTAGGCATAGCTCCTATGTTCACCAGTTGTTCTCTACTTGTCTATCCAATTTGTATATGATATTACAATAATAAACACTCTTTATTAGATTGTTTATTTACACTATTTATTTCTTATACTGTTTATTGGAATGCTTGGTAAAACATCGGCTAATTGCCAATTGATTCAAATTTCATAAAAAGGTACTTAATAAGGATTTCTTTAAAGTTGGTTTGCATATTTTAATAATTTAGTAAATGTTTTTGAATTTATAAATAAAAAATTGTTTTCATATTTATTTTTTATAAATTGGTAAATGATAAATATTGAATCGTATTAGTTTTTGGAATGTTGTAAATATAAAATTATTCTTGTAAATAGAAAATTTAATAAATAGTGTTTAAAATTTTTGTTGTCAATTCTCAAGAAAAAAAAATGTATAAATTCACTGTGGCAATAAAATAAACCTATGCTATCTCCCTTCTTACTTGTAACCATTCACTACAATAAATTAAAATAAACTTTTTCAGCACTAAAGCTGAATTAGTTAAATACAGCTTCATATGCTTCTACTTATTGCTATTGTTATTGCTGTATCACATTCAGTTTCATCAAATGTTTAGTATTTATTACTCGTCTAATCATCAATTTTTAAAATTATACATGAGTGAAGGTAGTTAAAATAACAGCATTGTCAATGGAAAAAACATCTTTTTGACACTCTGGTTTTATGCAGGCACAAAGGTCCAAGTTTGCCAAAAAATTGTTATGATTTGAGGTTCTGTTTTCTCATCCACTTTCTTTCTTCTTTAAAACTTACTACTTATTTTTGTATAGCAAGAATTACATTTGGTATGGAGCAGTAGGGTTTGAACATCGACATTTCTTATGGCAGGGGTTGCTGTGTGAATCATTTGGAAATTTAATAACCCCTAGTTTGTGTATATGTTCATAACTTATTTCCCTGAAGTGTTAAATCCTTTAAGGCCAGAAGTGTTCAAATGTTCCTGCAAGTTTCAGAAGCTTAGAGTCCAGGAGAGCCTAAATATCCCCCACCTCAACAGCAATAAGGTAGTACTGTATACGCAGTTTTAACACCTGTCATATGATCATCAAGCCTTGCTGGAAATTGGTATCTTATTAGAAATCTACAACTTTTACAAAATTGTAGATTTCCAAAAGCATATCTCATATCTAGTAATCCCCAAGGAGGCTAAAATTGGTATAATTTGAAAGATAAATCAATTTGCTTTCTGTTATGATGATCAAACTTAGTAGCCATAGATATTCTACATACACTGAATAAAAGTTGTCCGTGAGCTATAGTTATAGCTCTCTTTATGCTAATTACCTATTACCTAAACCAATCCCATTGCATCTCTCTGAATCTTTTAGGTTTCACACATGGATCTATGGTTTCTCTTACATCCCCTCCCTCTCTCACTAGTTTCACAAGTATTTCTCGTTATAGGGGACCTTGATATAGTTCATGAAATTCACATCTGTTGGTATCTCTTAACCTTCTGAGATATTTCTTTGTAGGTTCCTGAAATTCTTGTTTCAATGCTTGGTTTGTTCAGCTATGACCAATCTTTTCTTTGGTTGAATATTTCTCAATATTATTTCTTTGACTTCCTTAAATGTCAAGTTTTCAATTTCAGCCAGGTAAGTCATTAACGAAATCTGCCTAATAGCTTTGCATCATGCAGTGGCCAAAAATAGATCTGTGATTTTTTTTCTTTCCCCTCAGGTGTTTGGTCATCTTGTAACTTCTTTATTCTGGCACGTGCATCAAAGTATTTTATCCAAGTCTTTGTTTTCAGGTTCTTCTGTGTTCAACAAAGCTCAATCAGGTGATACCATTTTATTATGATGATCAAACTTAGTAGCCATAGATATTCTACATACACTGAATAAAAGTTGCCCGTGAGCTATAGTTATAGCTATCTTTATGCTAATTGCCTATTATCTAAACCAATCATCTCCCCTTGCTGAAAATTGGCATCTTATTGGAAATCTACAACTTTTACAAAATTGTAGATTTCCAAAAGCATATCTCACAGCTTAGTGATCCCCAAGGAGCCTAAATTTTTTTGGAAAAGAATGGATGAAGAAAGAACATCCACTCTCTTTTCTCGAATGTTAAAAAAAGGCCCAATGAACAAAACTCTCAATTACTACATAAAATTTAAAAGCACAAAAATTTATTACAAAACACATTAACAAAATATACAAGATGTTCTTGCACAAAAATTTCCTTTTCTGCAGCTTATCTAAAAAATAAAACCGGATAACATACCAAGAATTATACATGTGATTTCAAAATATTTCAAACAATCTTTAAAAAATGAAAAACAAAAGAAAGCAATTCAAAATTTTGATAAGGCAGAAAATACTTTTTAAGACTTTCAGATGAGAAAAATCACAGAACATATGGAACTTTGGCAATTTTGAACCAATGATGTTGTGGAGACTTTTTATAATTTTTCTTTTATAGAACACAGTTCTATTAACATGTTCCAGATGCTTTTTTTTCTTTTGCTTCTCAGGAATCATCTTTCTGGGTTCTTGTTCTGCCTTCAGAGTGAAATTTTTGTCAGTTTGTCTCGGCTGAAATATTTGGTTCTTCTTTGAAAGTGAAAACCTTTTTTTACAGCCAGTAGGCTTTGTCTCGTTGTGTAACTTTTCATCCACTCCTATTGTCTAACCACCTTCTGTTCTGAAATTTGATTGCATTCTTCCATGAATTTTGAATGCCTTCTGAAGTTTATTTGTTGGCCCTTCTCTTTGAAGTGAAGGGACTGTAAACAAATCTTAACTTTAAATTTACGATCCTATGCTTTTGATTGGATAATAAATAAAAATTGTACATATTTTTTTTATTTAAAAAATGAAATTGAAATAATCCACCTTTCCCGAAATAATTTTAGTGGTTCTTTAACAGACAATTCTAAAAATAGAAAAGCTTACAGACAAATATGACAATTTTTCATAAACCATCTGACTTTCTTTAAAATACACTTCTCTAAAAAGTATCTGTATAAGATGAACTGAGAAGATTAAAATATTCACTTATTTATACTTTTTAATTAACTATTATTTTTAATTATTTCTTAATAACTAATAACATTTTTTAAAAGAATCAATAGCAAAAATGTTGAACACTATTTATTAGATTGTTTATTTACCAGAATAATTTTATTTTCACAAAATTGCAAAAATATATGAACTAACTGCAGTGTAATAAAATAAAATATCAGTGAAAACAATTTTTTTTTTCATTCTGAAGTTTATAAAAATTTCTGTCACCTAAAAAACAAGAAAATTTAAATAAACATAACAATGAGTAACTGTAACTATAAATTTAAAAGACATGTATTTTCTGGACATAGATAATTTTTTTCTCAAATTATTTTATATCCTAGATTACTTCTTGTTTTGTCTGGGTGTCCTGGCTATGATGATAAATTCCATTTGGCAGTAAGGTCTCTGATCAGGAAATTGGAAGTTTTGAGGAACATGGAACCACCTCTTAATTGCTGTTGTTCCCAGGTTCACCTTGACCTGGGGTGGTAACCCCTGTTAGGGTCCCAGCTATGGGCAAATAGTTAACCACCAAACTGTGGTCAAAACACTATGGGCCAGCAATAACTGAGCAGTACTAAATAAAAATACAAACAAGATGATATCTTTAAACATGACCAGTGGAAACCATAGATTAAAGGGGTTTAGCTCAGAATTCCCTGTAGGTTACCAAAATTTAAATACACTTGAGGAAGGCTAGAGAGCACAATGGCCAGAAACACCTCATCCCCAAAATTTAGGGAGAAATGAGCTTAGAAGTATAGATGCTATCTATGGAAAAAATGTTCATTCTTCAGAGCATTTTGTCTTTGAGAATTTTGGATAAGAAATTGTGTAGCTGGAATTAAATATATCACTATGTGTTCAGGTGTATAGATAAATAGATAATGGAAACATTAACATGGTTGATAAAAATATACAGAAAAAGAGAGTAAGACTTTGGATAAGAAATTCTTGGTCTGTATCGTAATCCATGCATTAGTAATTTTTTTTCATGAGCTAAGCTTTCTTATTTTACATTTTACTGATCATTGTCATATATTTTTAATGTCATCTCTGCTGCTGTCATACTTTCATGATTTGTGTCTGTCATAAAATGTTTATACAATTTTTTCTGAACAAATGAAGATTTTTGTGTTAAGCAAACTGGAATGATGGGATTGTGTATTATCATTTTTTTTCTGGTTTTTTAATCAATTCATCCCAGATAAAGCAATAATGCCACTAAGACACAAGGGGCATTTGGGAGTAAAAGAAAATGAGCAGACTTTATAAGGAACCAGAAACACAATCCTAAACAAGAAACAAGTGATAAGCATCTACTCTTGTTCAAATGAATGAGGAGGAGAGTGAACCAGGCAATAGGGGAACCTATCTATTTCTATTGAGGAAAAAAAAGAATAGTAAATAAAATTTCAGAGTTAGAAGTACAGAGTTGAAGTAGACTTTAGAAGGAACCAGAAACCAAAATACAGGGAGAAGAAGACATCTCTCATCAACACAACTATCATCACCACCTCTCATACCAAGCCTAATGGTTTTATTAACACTTCGGCAGAAATTCACTTTTGCCAACAGTCTAGAAA